GGTTGGGCGCAGGGCGCCTGGCCGGCGAGTGGGCCGTACGAGGACAGGTGGATAGGTGTGAGGTTGGCCTACACAGGGGCGGTTGGAGCGCGGGTGGGGGCCGCGATGGGCCCAACCGGGAGCGCCTGGTGGAGGTCTGGGCACTGGGGTTTGGGGGCTGCAGCGTCCGCCATCTGGCCCTGCCTGGCAGCCGCCCACGGGTTGCAGAAGGCCACCTGAAGGCTGCGCGTCGCAGGCAGAGCGGCAGGTGTGTGCCAGGCCGTCATCCCGTGCGCCCTGATGTGACGAGTTACTGAAGACGGACGTGCTCTGTTGGCGCGGCCCGCACCCTGAGGCTGGTGCACTTGAAGCCCAGCCCCGCCATCATCTGGTGCAGCGCCGCGGCCTCCGCCCTGGTGCGCGTGAATATGATGGTCTGGCCCAGCTTCTCGCAGTTTGGGCAGATCTGCTCCTGCAGCACCCGGGCCTTGTCCGCCGGCGTGGGGCACCTGGGCACAGGGGCAGGGCGAGGAGGGGGGGGACGGGTGTTGGGCCAAGGACGAGGGGCTTGGGAGGGAGACAAGGGGGATCCCCTCTGATGCGTTCGGTAGCAATAGGGGGTTGCAGGTGAAGGACGGCCGATAATGAGGGCCGCGAGACTGGCTTTGCAGCCACCCAAAGAAAACCATCAGGCATCGCGTGTGGCGCTGCCTCGGCACGCAGCGCGCGTGGTGGCGGCCGCGGGCCGCGGCGATCAGGCGTGCGCGCCAGGTTTGGGCCAGGGCGCTGCTGCTACCCCCGGCGTCACCCACATGACGTTGTACTGCTTGATGACGTTCAGGCTGAGATTCTCCTTGGGCACAAACACCTGGTGGTGGTGCATGCGCGTGTGTAACCGTGTGCATGAGTGAACGTGCGCGTGTGTAAACGTGTGCGTGAGTAAACGCGTGCATGTGTAAATGTGTGCATGAGTAAACGCATGCGTGTGTAAACATGCGTGTGAGTAAATGCGTGCGCATGCAACCGCATGTGTGTAAGTCTGCGCCCACTTTTACAGTGGCGTCTGCATGTGCGATGTTGTAGTCTATGTCTAAACCAAGTGGCAGGGGTGAGGAAGTGTGGCAAGAGGTGGCAAGATGTACCCGGAGTGGGCCACGCACACGGGGTCGCTGCAGGGAAGCAGCAACACGCGCGCCGTGCGACCCGATCCCCCCGGCTCAGAGGGCGCACGTGGTTGGCGCGGGGCGCGATGCGCATGGCAAAGTTTTTGACGCGATCGTTGAAGGTGGCGCTGAACATCAGCTGGGGGCAAGGGGTCGGGGTGGGGTGGGGTTCAGTGGGTTTAGGGTTTAGGGTTGGGGAGCGGGGCAAGGGTTGCATGGACAAAGCGGTAGGGTCCACCGACGGGCAGGGGTTAATGGTCAGCAGACACGAGACGCCAAAGTCGTGCACAGGCTAGAGCTCAGGGACTGCATGACAGGTTCGCGGCCCACAGGCCGGCCCCTTTGCAGGAGGGCGTTGTAGGGCGCGACAGCGCCGCCCACCAGCTGCAGGCCTGGGTTGCGCTTGCGCGTCGTCTTGATGAGCCGCACTGCCGACGGGGGTTGGGCACGAGCCGACACGGGGCTGTCAACCGGCAAATGGCCACGGACACCTGCACATGCAACCATGCCGGCTGCAGTAACCGCCACCTTGATTGGTACACGCACCAGCAAATCCACTCGCACCTCGTCAGCGCCACATGCTCTCATCCCCAACCCTTGCACATCCCCCACTCCTTATTTCCCCTTTAGCTACCCGAAACCGGAGCCCTCACCGCTCTCGTCCGCAAAGGCCTCCGCCTTGAGCATCTCGTCCGCCTCGTCAAACACCAGCACCCTCACGCGGTCCAGGTCCAGCACGCGCTCAGACACCTGGCGGTTTCGAGAGGGTTTGTTTGCGGGTGGGGAGGGCAGGGGTTTCGTCTGGGAGGTGGGTCAGTGCAGGTGTGCTGGGAGTCCTAAGAATGAAGGGCTGTTGATGCTGGGAGAGAAATTCATGTTGGGTGGCTGGGGTTTGAGACGGACCCGTGAGTCCGCAAAGCGGCGGAGGCTTGGGGTTGCAGGGCGACGGGAACGGGGCCTAGTCAGTCTAGGGAAGGGCAAGGCCCGGCACGGACGGCTTGGCGTGGGGGCACGCCGGACACTAGCGCGCCGTGCATGCCCCTCCTCACCCAGTTCTTGCAGCGGCCGTGGGTGCCGATGACGACCTGGGCGGTGGGGGTCGCAGGGTGGTGGCGACGGG